TGATTTTTCCTGTCACTAAGTCCTACAGAATACATTTATAATGGTTGCCAAAAATTATCATGTAATTAACACAGGAAGTAAAATCTTACACATTGCCCCCCTCCACCATAAGTGTACGTACTAGGTTATCAAGACACTAGAACAGTAAAATGTTAATTTTGAATAAATGACAATTACTTTTAATCATAACAAATGCAAGGTAAAGCATGTGGAATATCAAAATTTGAATTATGAATATAATTTTGATAAGAATAACCTTAACAGTGTTATGGAAGAAAACGATCTTGGTGTTCTGGTCCATCAGTCTCTAGAGTCATCCAAGAAATGTGCTGTTGCTAGTGGCAGAGCAAATATTATTTTAGTTTCTATCTACAAAAATGGTCCGGCATGGCTAGGTGGTTAGGGAGTTCGACTCGCAATCTGCATTCGAATCCCCGGTCCACCAAACATGCTCGCCCTTTCAGCCGTGGGGGCGTTATAATGTGACGGTCAATCCCATTCTTCGTTGGCAAAAGAGTAGCCCAAGAGTTGGCGATGGGTGGTGATGACTAACTGCCTTCCCCCTAGTCTTACACTGCTAAATTAGGGACGGCTAGCGCAGATAGCCCTCGTGTAGCTTTGCGCGAAAATTCAAAACAAACAAGCTACAAAAATATTGAATACAAGTCTAAAGAGGTTATATTGTCATTGGTTAGGCCAGCTTTGGAGTACTGTGTTCATTCTTGGGTTTCTTACCCAAGAAGGGGCATTAAATTGTTGGAAAGAGTTCAGAGGAGAGCTAGTAGGATGATACCTGGGATAGATAGGTTTTCATGCGAGGATAGGTTAAGATCTCTGAACTTGTTTTCTCTTGAAAAATGAATAATTCCAAGGGATCTGATTGAGGTGTTTAAGATTGTTAAGGGAGTCGATAGTGTTGATGCATCATTCTTTTATTTTTAATATTTAATGATAATGGTAAAACTAGCATAAACAAGTATAAAATTTCGCAGAGTAGGAGAATCTTCAGCTAAGACAGCTTTATTTTTCTAACAGGGTTTTTGGCCTTTGAACGAGTTACCTTCAAATGTGGTAGGTTAGGTTAATTTAAGTGAGTTTAATGGAACGCTTTATAAATGTTTGAATGACAAGGGCCTGGCTTTGTGTTTTTTAATGTTTAGTTTAATTCCATACATTATAAGACCAAAAGGCTTCTTGTTGTTCTTTAATGTTATTTTATGTTAATTGACAGATAAATCACTTCTAAGAAAGTTCCGAATTTCAATAGATTAATTTCCTGACGTCTCACCTCAAAATAAACACGATTCGAATTAGGTATTATTTCAATCTTAATTTTTCTATACAACTGATGCCCTATTAATGATTAAACCAATATAGTGTTAATACCTGATCACCCAAACAGCAAGTTATTATTGTAAAAATGTATATTGTTTCTAAACGAAAATTTTATTTTTTATCTTTTACATCCTAATGCTTAAAAACTTCGGTCTCAAAGCGTATTTCAAATGAGGTGGTTATTTATTTCGTTTTTGTTTTTTATATTTGACAAAAAGATAAATTTCACTAGAGGACGCGTTTTATTTCAACGCGCGGAAATAATGGAATCTAAACTTAAACATTTCATTTAACTTTTAATTTTAATTGTTAGTAAATATTAAGTAATAAATATTAACCGTAGTGATACCATTCGATGAGTATTGGGATCTTCGGACTTCTCGTATTAAACATCGTTTTATAAATATCTATGAAGTTAAGATATGGCACCATTGTTTTCTAAAAAAGATAATTTTAAAAAAAGTAGAGATGCTAAAATAGAAAACTTTTCACGGAAACTTATTAAAAGGATAACTGGTTTGAAGGTGACAATATGATTTATTGATAATACTAATAATATTACTATTAAGCCTACCCTAAGGGTACAATAAATTGTTACATTGAGGTGCTAGAATTATAAGAACGGAGATTATAATGGAATAACTGAAATATGGTAAAATGTAGATCATTATGATTACAGAAATTTCTTTGAAATGCAGGGTTATGACTTAAACTAAGATTATTTAATAGAGATAGAGTACCAAACCCTAAAAAGAGGGGGGAGAGTGGCTATGTAGTTGATATGTGAAATGTGAGCTACATTATGTTGATGTTGAGGATTTCAGTGGTATCCCACATGCATTACCCTACATTTATTATAATTAAAAAAGTCATCTGCCATTTATTTGCTCAACTCACCAAATAAACCAAGTCCTTTTGTAAAGCAGCAGGATCCTCCCCATACTCATAGCTACCATCACCCAAAAACCTTAATATCATCAGCAATTTTAAATATTTTTTTTTACCCTTCCTTCATCTATGTCGTTGATGTAAATAAAAAAAGAGCATAAGTCCTAAAACTGAAGTACCTCACTTGTGACATTAATCCAATTTGGCTGAACCCCATTTATAACAACCCTCAGCTTTCTTCCATCCAGCCAGTTTCTATTTCATTTGGAATGTTGTGTTGTTCAATCTAGGGCTCCTTACCTAACAAAGGACATTGAGTTGTTCGTGAAGGTTCAGGGGAGGGCCGATAGGATGGAAAGGTTGTTGTACAAGAATAGGATGAAAGCTGGGCAATCAGAAATTTGTTAATAAAGTATTCATTAGGCTCATTAATAAAATACATTCAACTAGTCAATTATTCTCACATGAGACTTGGATGGTTAGAATAATTGGAAACACTAATTTTGATTTGTTGATTATTTTCATGAATCGTGAAATTAATTGACTAACTTAAACAAGCTTTCATTAATTAAAAATTATGGTAAATCATAATGGCGATGTTTTGACTACTTGAATTGTTGGAATGATTGAAAACAGTAATGACTGGGAATACCAATTTTAATTGATTTTATTATTTTGAGTTTTAGTTTAGATGATGGGACAACCTAGGTGGACCAATAGGTTCCTTGTTGTCCCTAATCATTATGTATGTTAAAATCGTAACATTTCTAGTGTTGTAATACGAATTTTATATACAGGATGATGACCAGAATTTTCAACTTTGTATTGAGTTTGTTGACTCCAATTTCAAATATCATCGATTCTTAGATGTCAATAGTCATCAAGTACAAAAGACCATAGATGGGTAAGTCATGATATTATGTAAAAACTGATGACATTTAACAACGTTGCAAATATGTACATAATAATAGTCTGCATAAAAGCCAAGCAAAACTCTTGTTTATGTTCACTTTATCACCACGATATGAATAATTCTTCTTGCATCTGTTAGCTGGGTTGAGGCCAAGTGCTTAAAATTATACTAAAGTGACACCTGTGTGATATCCATGCTGAATGGCATTCTGATGATACACTAAAAGATTTTGAAAATACAGGTTATTGGTTTGTTTACACAAACGTTGAATTTGTTTTATGTTTGCCTTGTTGTATGTAATGATATATCAAAATTTGTGTTATGCCCAATAGTTTATAACATATTTCATGAATGTTGGTTTATGACCAAATTTAAGAACGTGAATCTTATGCCTTATATTTGTTTGCATGTCTGGTAATTGTTAGTATCCATATATAACCTAAAAATTTTAAAATATGGTTATAACTTATTACAGTCACCTGATGAATGTTAGTACATAAATAATTAATAAAAAAATCTATATTTCATGACTGGTGCATGTAATTATTATATGATTAGTTTGTATTGGTTTATGATTTGTACATTTAATGTTGTATTTGTAATGACTTGTTATTAGCATGTAGTTGTTACATGGTTCAGACCTTTTATTATTTTATAAAGTGCTCACAATAGATGTTTACTTACAAAGTCTTTGAATTTTTCTGACCTTTTTATAAGTTTTCATTTTTTGTGACTACAGTTTAATTCTTTATCATGTTTTCAATTGCAATCCTTAGGTGTTATGCATAATCTCAGTGAGCTAAGATAGGCTTCACTATAAAAAAAAAATAAAGATTTTGAGACTTAAACTTGGATAGTAATTTAAATGACTCAGTTGTTCTTATTGTTTTTTTTACTAATGTAATACAGTTTTAAAATATGGAAGAAAGATTTGCTGTATCACATTTTTAAAAGCCTGAACAGTGTTACAGCTATATTTTGTCTGCATGAATAAAACAAATTCAGATGTTTTATCCGATTAATGTGTGTGAAAGTTACAAATATTTGTTATAATTATGGAGTATTATTTGTATTCTAAATGTAAAGTTGGAAGTCATTTTGAGCAAAATTTCTATTAATTTTCAGTCTGTCTGAAAAGTTTCTAATCCATGGACAGTATCAAAAAGCCAGGTCCTTTAAGAGCTTAACTACTCAACTTCTGGATAGTGTGAGAATATCCCACTTTAGTCAGGTTGGATTCATGTTTTTCTTTATATTATTTTCTGTGTACATAATACCATAAGATGTTTAAATTCAACATAACCGATATTATTGGTAGTTCTACTGCCATGATCAACTTTTGTGCCCAAGGAACTCTGCAATGTTTATGAACTTTTTAGATAAAATCATATATATTTCAGGTCAAAGTAAAAATTTTGAAATCTGCCAGTCATGTCGTATTAGCTGAATAACCTGTTCATAACATGTGGAAGACATAAGGACCCTTAGGTGTGACATGGTTGTCAGATATGAGTGCAAACTTCCCTCTGTCATACCCTCTGGAACCCTAAGGGTACATGCCAACTTTGGTAACAGTCAGTTCAGCTGTTCACCATTTATAAGTCAACACACACACACAAACAGACTTGTCAAATAATGGTGGCATGCTTAAAATGTTCATTGATCTAACTTGCTTGTAACTAGTGCTGGATCATTAGTAAAATTTGAAAATTGATTAATTTTCAGACTTATTAATTAATTATATTCAACTAATCTCTTTTTCTCACAGGACTTAATTGGAATAATGAACAATGGTAATGATCATAAACACTGTTTTTGATGATGTACATACCTCAAACAATTCAATATATTTGTCATTGGTGTGATTAGCTTGTAACATACTTACAGCAATCCAATAATTTTAACATTGGTATAATTATCTTGGGACATACTAGCAACAATTCAGTAGGCGTTACTTTGGTATAATTAGCATGTAGCATACTTGCAACAGTTCAGTAAATGTTACAATAAATCTTTAAACTCGAGCGATTGCTACTAGCATCTGGGTAAAAATCCCAATTTACCCATTAGACAGTGACAGCTTCTGATAATATTTATGAATCTTTGGCTGAAAACTAATCCAAACCACATTATTATTCACCTTTTATAAAAAGACTGGAAAATTTTATAAGGTATGGTGATAATTATTAGGACATCACGAAAATAATTCTGGCAGAATGAGGAAAAAATTATGTGTTTAAAGAGTTAATGTAATTTGATTGTAGCGTACATGCAACTGTTCAACAGATGTTATGTTGGTGTGATTATATTATAAAATACTTGTAGCACATCAGTAGATGTTACATTGGTATGATTAGATTGTAACATACTTGCAGTAATTCAGTAAATGTTACATTGATATGATTAGATTGTAACATACTTGCAGTAATTCAGTAAATGTTACATTGGTATGATTAGATTGTAACATACTTGCAACTGTTCAACGGATGTTATGTTGGTGTGATTACATTATAAAATACTTGTAGCACATCAGTAGATGTTACATTGGTATGATTAGATTGTAGCGCATTTGAAACACTCCAACGAATTCCAACCAGTAAACATACTTTGTAAATAAAACAGTTATTACAGTTTTCCATTAATGAAGCTAATATCTTTTTATCACTTTTGTTTATTTCAATGAGCTTATCATGTGGCAAACATTGAAATGAGAAACTTTAAGAATTTTGTTTCTGATACTTACATTTAGTAGCCATTACCGTTATATATATATTTTTTTTACTTATTACTCTCTGTAAAATACGAGTTAAGTACCTAATTTTCATACAACTGAAAACTGTATGTGTATTATTTATAGGATTAGTTAGATAGTAAGTTTGTGTTGCTTGCAGAATTGAGAAGACTGTCATTTAGATACAGAATGGTCATTTTATATTATTAAACAGTTACTGAGATTAAATAATTATTCCATATCTGCAGATAATGTTAATGTATGGATGACCTCTGGTATTTAAGGTAGATCCAGCTTTCATACTGAACCATTATTTACTTAATACACATAATTCAGACTATAAAAGACCATTGAATTATGGTTGATAATCCTTAATAAATGTTTGTATATATGGGATCAAATTCAGTATTTTACTGACTAAATTTTAAGCTGCATGAAAAAAATGTAAAAGTAATAAAATATGACTCTTTGATAGCATTTGATTTCAGGAATAGGCTTAAAGATACCTTATTTCATGTTTGTATTAATAATTTCTAAATTTAACTGAATAATAAAAATTTAACATCTTGTTTCAGAAAGATGATGTATTTTCCATCCTCTCTCTGTTGCTACATCTTTCCGAGTCCCCTGTGAACTACAATTACACGCCAAGATTGGTGTTCAAGGACAAACGTAATGTAACTTATGACTTTCATATATACAGCAAATTATCCCTAATGCATTCTTAAACATTTAAAAAATAAATAAAAATTTTTATTTAATTTAAATGTTAAGAATTAAAATATATACTGAAAATATAAATAATATTGGATAAAATATGCACACTTATTATGAAACCTGATATTTGCTGATAAAAACATTTCTAATATAATTATTAATAGTTAATACTTTATAATTCCAAAATCACAATTATTAATAAATAGATTTACCAGCTAGTACTCGTATTTTCTTGAATAAGATTTACCATCATTTTTATTGAAGAAAGTGAAAAAACTTTTAATAAAACCTGAAATTATTTTTCAGATTTAGAGGTATAAGTATTTCAAGATCATCTCAGATATGACTGTTTTATTTTTTCATAATAATATAGTAAGAGCTGCGATGCGTTGATCATGGCTTATTCAAATGAGTTATTTCTAATAGTTTTTAGAATATTTCAAAAAATTTGTGAAAGAGGCCTTCTGTAAAATATTTGGGTAAAATCCTGTAAACCATAAAATTTTTAGGTGAAAACTGTATCTAAATTACTGCTTTTTACCTTTTCTGTAAATTAAAATATCTACATTGCTTTTTTGGTAACAACAACATTTTTTGTTTCTTTCACGTACAATTAAAGATGGACCATTAATTGGTGTGTATGAAAGAAAAGTTTTTAATTGTTTTGTTAAGTGTATATCTTGAACCATATGAAAGATTGTGATTCCTAAATAAAGGTGTAGTTGATGTTAGTGAAGATGTTGACTGGGGTACCTACTTGCTTGAAGGAGAAGAATTATCATCAAAGTTCTCCGACAGCCAAGAGGTAAACAAAATTTTAAGATTTTCTTTTCGTGTTTGAAACGTAAAATGCTTATTATATGTTAATGACAAATTATGTCATGATCTACATAAATAATAAACTATATATATATATATAATAAGTAAAATATTTTTTTACAAGATGAGAGTCTTGGAAAGAAAGCCTACGGTAACTGAAAGAAATGGGTCATTATAATGTTTTAATTGTGGTATTTTTTTCCATTGGTGGGTTAAAACAGTTGTATGTAACTCATTAGTTTTCATTTCTGTGACTTGATGTTTTTAATAAGATATAGGTTTGATAACCACATGTCATGATAATTTGTTTATTTATGCATTAATCTGTCATATGTGGTTTATTAAAGGCACGTGTAATTGTCATTCATTTTTCAAAAGCACCAGCATTGTGTATAGATTAATGATCTGTATTCCGTAAGCAGGAACGTGTAAAAAAGAACACTGCTGAATTGTATTTTCTGTTCCCGGTTTACCTTAACATTTTATCCAGTTATTTTGTAGTATACTTCAGATAGGCTTTTGACATAATGAAAGGATTTACTGAAAATAGAAGTCACTGCTGAAAACTCGTATTTTAAGGTTACATTGACTTTTTGTCATCCAAACATCTGATATTTTGGTGCTGTTTTACTGTGCTTGCTCTGAGTTCTGTATTAGTGTTCTATTAAGGACCTCCCAAAGAAATTACAGCATAAATTCAATACCATAAACATTATGTTGATGTTACTGTATTTGCCGGCGTATAAGATGATACTTTCTACTCTTAAAACAATGCCTGATTTTACCCCTTGTACATAGGTTCAAAGATAGAGTTCCAGAACTCTCCAGGTAGTAACATATTTAACTAAAACTGCATTGTTCCTTTTACTTTTGTTTGCTTTTTTGAGTAAGTGTTTGACATTGTGCCACCTACTGTGGTACAATAACATCTTTGTGATTGTATCATTTGTCTCGATTCTTCATAAGTAGAAGTTATTTATCTCACATGCTAGTTACAATTAATCAAGATATGTTTTTTGAAATGTATTGATCTCATCCATCGCACTAAAGTATTGCTAATATTATATCAAAAAGAAGTTAGTTTCTTACTTACACTAATTTTGTAAACATGTTTTATAGTACATCACAATAAATTAAGGTTTAGTATTTTTTATAATAAAAAAGGAGCTCAACTGTGATGAAAACTTTGTAAAGTTGTTTATTACATGTTTGTGACTTAAGTTATACTGCATTGAACTATCTGTGGTGTTTAAAGAACATAAAAAATACACTTGTGGATGTTTTTTATTACCCAAGAACACAAGTTAGCACAGTTTAAAAATAACTTCTAAGAATTTCTTTTAAAAAAAAAAGTAACATCCTCGACTTGTTTGACAATGAAGGTCATCCTATACACTGAACCTCAAAGAAATACACTTAATATGCTCAAAAAATCCAGGGTCATCTTATACACTGGCAAATATGGTAATCAATAAAATAAGACTGGTTTAAATTTCAGTTCAACACTAACCCCCGAGCTATAAGTAATCACTGTATGACTTGTCAATCATTTTATGGTGAGGATGGTCTCTCATGCAGGATTTTTTCTTTTGAACTGGTAAATACACACTTATAATGAATGATGTATGTACCACCAAATACTATGCACATTTGGTACAATTTTTGTTTCTAATACATGTTTTTAATATGAAAAATTCATATTAATTCAAATATTATCTAGAGCACTGACGTTTTCTATTTTAAATGCAATAACATACATAGTTATAGAATTAATCTGCCACTTCTAGCTTCCATAATTAAAAAACTGGAGAGGTATTCTATTTGATGGTGAACTAAAAAGATGATTGGAATGACAACTCCACCACTAAAAACAAGTATTACCAGAGGGTTATATTACAGATCAAAGGTAGAATTGAAAATGTAATCTGTGATGTAGAGGCCTAGCCGTGTTTTTTTGGTTTGCTGACCCACTCAGTGCTGATGAGTTATAAATAGGCAAAAAGTAGCAGTCCACAGCAGAGGGTGCAGCAAATCAAAGAACAAATTAGGCCTTTCATAATGGTGATGTGTATATAATATTTACTGGGTTTTTGAGTTCTTTTTAACTCTCTGTTTAGTAACCTAAATAATTTAGGCCATTACACCACAGATTATATTTTCAATTTTACCAATGATAAAAAGAAAAGACATCTGTAATATATTCATTACAATTGGTCTACTGTATAATATTGAATAATAATTTAGGCATAATGCC